CCCCAAAGTTTGGTGTTATCGGCGAACTTGGCCAGTTCGCTTCTGACTCCAGTGTCCACATCATTAATGAAGATGTTGAACAGTATGGGTCCAAGGACAGAGCCTTGGGGGACCCCACTGGTCACAGGACACCACGATGAGTGACTTCCATCGATTACTACCCTCTGGGTCCGACCCCGGAGCCAATTTTCCAGCCAGCGGATCGTGGAGGACCCAAGGCGACAATTGGCCAGTTTCTCCAAGAGGCGATCATGGGACACCAGATCAAAGGCTTTTTTGAAGTCAAGATATATGACATCAATCTCTTCTCCCTTGTCCAGGTGATAGGTCACCTGGTCGTAGAAGGAAATGAGATTGGTCAAGCAAGACCTACCCGCAACAAACCCGTGCTGGCTATCCCTTAAGATGTTGGCGTCGGCCAGTCCATTAAGGATGGCCTCTTTAATAAACTTTTCTAAGATCTTCCCCGGGATAGAAGTCAGGCTGATGGGCCTATAGTTAGCCGGATCCACTTTCCTCCCTTTCTTGAAGATAGGCACCACATTGGCCTTCTTCCAGTCTTCGGGCGCTACACCAGAGCGCCAAGAGTTTTCAAAGATCCGTGCTAGAGGCTGGGCTATGATGCTCGCCAGCTCCTTGAGTACCCTGGGGTGTACCACAGGAGATTGGAGATTTGGCCACCGCATCAGGCTAAACCTCTGCCGAATCAAATCAGGGACCGAAGCTTCGCACAGCCCTAGTGCACAGCAAGACTGGAAAGCAAGACTGTGATTGCACACACATACTCTCCTGCCCAATTAGAATGGTCTGATAAGCCCCAGGCAAGCAGGACATGTCTGCTTTTGCCTTTATCATTCCCAGTCCAGAATCCCCTCCCCTCGCAGGGGGAGCTGTGTGGGGCAGTTCCACCTTCCCCGCACACATCAATTTCTAGGAGACACAATGCAGGATCAGACCAGGAAGGACTGTAGCAAGAGCAGACACTCCTACCTGGTTTAGGTTTATCTGATAACTCTAACAGCACCAGGAGCGCACACATGGGCTACAGCTTTTCCCAGTCTGGCTGTACATAAAGCGCATAGGCCACTTTTACCTGGCCACAGCTGTGGCAACACCCAGGTTGAGAGCCACTGAGATAGAACAACAGTGGCTCTCAAAATCGGGAGTGCAGCCAACTTCAAAAAACGTGTGGAGGAGTCTACTCAGTCTAAAAAGGTTGAGAACCACTGAAATAGCTAAACAAAAAACACAACACAACACAGCACAACTACGGAAATTTAAAATCTGATTTTAACTGAACACTTGTTAAAAAGCAGATTAAGTAGGAATACTATTTATGTTGTTCTTTTGTTTCCTGCATTTCATTCCACCTAGACAATGAAGACAGACCAGTCTATTTTGCTTTGGGGTTTTCATGCAATGAATACAAATATAGAAAAATAGTTGCAAACCCTATTTTGCTGACATATATTAAACAGGTCATAATTATTCATAATACTAGCTTTTGCAAAAAGGTTTATATTTACCTAATATTTTGAACTTAATTGCTTGATAGTCTTTAAGGGGCAATTAAGTCTTTATACAAGAAATACAGCACGGAACTCAAACAAAGTTTAAATGCAATTATTAGATATTGCATGAACACTAGGAAAAAAAAAAAAAAAAAAGAGAGATGGCATTTTATATGTTCAAAAAATATGAAACATTATACGAACCTCTAGGTGTTAAAGAAGCTTGCTTTTCAACTTCCACTTGCTGTCTCAGGTTAGCAGGAATATTGTTGTAGATTCTTTTGTAATGATTATACACAGCAACTGAAAGCACTTTCTTGGCAAATGACTGCCCAACAACATACTTGTCGAGGTAGTTATAAATCTGAAAAATAATTCTCTCTTAATTTCCACAACACCTGCACATCACCTATTAGAGTTAAAAGCATTACATGGTGCAAAGATACAAAGTTAGCAGGGGCCAGGTTAAAACTAAACAACCCATCCCTCCACCTCAGGTTCTGAGGCATCCAATTCTGAAATTCTGTGTACTTAAATTAAACTTCAAGACTGTGAATCATAATATGCATTGGGCATAAATGGAGGCTGAACTCAACCTGTTGTCTAATAGTGTTCATTTACAAATTGTTTCACAGCTTATGGTATCAATCAAAAATGTACAGCTGGCTTCAGGATACCCAGTACTTAAATGGAATTATATTCAAAATAATACCCTGCCCTGTAGAATGCAATAGCTAAAATTGAATCCTGGCAAACTAACTGTCTTTTGGGTTTGTTACAACTGCACTTTAAATTTTGATACGGATTTTATAAAGCAAAACGTTCCAGTATGCAAGGCAATAGTCTAATATTCAAGGTTCTAATGCAAGGCAGGCTAGTTGGGTGAAATTAAGAACCATACTTTTTTCGGTGGAGGTGGCGGCTTTTGCTGGAATGCCAACTTCACAGCTTCTGCTGCCGAGTCCGGCTCTTTAATTATGCTCTTTTTGGAGTCTGCCTCCGACAGCACAACGAAAAAATGGTGACATTTTTCACACTTCACAAAACGAGTGGAAGCTGTAAAAAAAGACAGAGAAATTCTTCAAGCAATATTCATTCAACTTGATGGTTGCATGCTACATAGAACTCAAAAGATGTCTGTAAGAAAATATTTTGTAAATTCCCTCCTTAGCCTCCAAGGTATATCCAAGATTGGCAAATGCCAAATCAGGAGAGACAAAAAGTACAGTAAATATGCAGCATTTACCTAGTGCTTTTCATCTGCTTACTTCAGAAGCTTTACTGTAAAATCACCAGACAGTGGAACGTTATACAGATTGGTAAATAAAGCACTGTACCCAAGATGACACACAGCACAGACAGTACGACAGGTGAGAAACCAGGTTTCTCTTTGTTCACAGATTCATAGATTGTAGAGTTGGAAGGGACCACAATGGATCATCGTGTCCGACCCCCTGCCCCTGGCAGGAAAGAGGACCGAGGTCAGATGACCCCAGCCAGGTGACTGTCTAGCCTCCTCTTGAAGACAGGACTGCTATCTTCCCAGCATCCCCCCACTACAGTACATAAGCCCAAGCAGCATGAAGTGTAAGACTATACAGAACCTAGATGCAGGGTGAAAAGGTCCAGTGACTCAAGGGATCAGCAAATAGGCAGCTCTTGTTGGACAGGCCTGAGCTACTGAACCACATGATGCGGATCCACTATCACAAAGCCCATATAAAGGGAAAGGCAGTAAATAGTGGCCTGAACGACATGAGAGTAAGAAAGTGCCATTTGCTTTTATTCCTCTTTGTGCAATTAAACCGACTGCTGTAGAAGGAGAGAGCTGGGGATCGATTTTCCTAAAAACCAAAGGATACAAAATTTGGTTCAGTGTCATTATTAGTCAACTTCAAGTCCATAGTGAAAGGTGTTTAGCTCTTAGTAGTATGAGTAGAAGGAGGAGTAGTTTGATTTTCCTTGTCTAGAGCTCCCTTTTAGTTACCACTTCAGAAAATAACTGCCCTGTTTTCTGGCCTTTTTTCAGAAGTCATACTAAAACACCTAAGAAAATAATTTCTTTCTTAAAAAGAAACGTGAACGCTGCCTTTAGTAACTAGTTCTTCAGCAAACAAAGAACCATTCAGAAACATTATGAAAATGTCTGGACCAGAAGCAGCAAAGCTATTGCCTTCTTCAGAAAGGCCGAGATGAAAACATCTACAGGAGATGCCAGTAAAGAACAGAGACATCATCCAAATTAATTGTTCAGTTCTTGCTCCAACACTGGAACATCCTGTTAAAAGACCAGTACCAAATAAGTGCAGCATGACCCGTTTAAACAATAACAATTGCTCTGTATCAAGTGACCATTTGAAAAATTCCATGTTGAGTCTCTGAAGTTTTAAAAAACTTTAAAAAAATAATAAAGACTTCATAGTTCAATTCTGGCCGACAGCAATAACCAAACCCATTTATTTACGCTTTCCACAGAGCAGATGTCAGCAGGAGCAAATCTGATATGACACTTGCACGTTCAAGAACTCCACTGGTGGATAAATAAGACTAGTGGTTGGGATGCTGCTACACAGTGCTGTGGCAATCATGCTGCTCTTACAGCTACTCCTTTAGGCAGAATGAACAGAGGAGCTGAAACACTCCAACAGTCGCAGCACAAACTGTTGGTACCGGAGTAGAGGGAGTGCAAGAAAGACACTCCAATGACAGTTTGATTTGGTGCCGCCATCACAAGGAGAGGTTTTGCCACTGCACTCATTCACAATATTTGGGATATCTGACTGACAACCTGTGTTATAGGGACTGTTCTCCAGGGTGGATAAAAATCAACATTAAAAAAAAAAAAAAATCAAAACAATCAGATTTTTTTTATTAAGATGTTTAAAAAAAATAAACCTATAAAATGATAGTTTAAATTTAATATATGTTAAAGCTCAAAGATATCATCATGGAATTGGAATTATAACTTCTAATTGTTACATGAATATATTGTCTCAAGTAGTATAAATTTTTAGAACTTTTATAAATGGGTCACAACAGGCCATGGTATATTAGGGGCCCAATCTTATGGGGTTCCCAGAGGGTCCTCTATAGATTAGTAAAGATTCAAGAAAACCAGTCTACCCAATGGGACTCAGTGCTCAGGTTAAGCATCCCTTTAAGCATCTCCGTGATGCTTAAGTTTCAGTTCTCAAATTGGATTTGTGTCTGCAGAGATCACATCCTTGTTAACAGCAGGATATGGAGATGAGAGATAACAGACCTGATTACCCACCCAGCAGCTCTCTGCAAGTTTGTGTACACAGAATCAAGCCCTTATTTCTCCTTAAAAGTGCAAAGTTTCAAGAAGTTAAATGAATAGAGGATTGTTGGTGTAGATCTGAGCAAGGAGAAGGAGTCTGGAGATAAAGGCAGTAAAACAAAGGAGAAACATTGTGAGCAAAATTTTGTTGAAATCACAAAATATTCCGTAACAACCACTTTGCAGCAGCTGCTCTCAAGCAAACAGGAGGAACCAAGCTAACTCTTGAGAACTGGCTTAATCGGATGATAATTTGTGAACAAAATCATGACAAAATAGATGGAATTGTCATAGCCAAAGTTCTCAACACTGGCCTAAAGAGAAATTAAGAATGTATGCTGGCTATCCTGAACCTATTTCCATAGCCTTGAACAAAGGTTATATAAAAAAAACAAAACAAGAATCCACTTTTTGTAGAAAACATTAATTAAATCAAGGCTTCCTGGCCAGTGATTTACAGTGATATAAAACATGATTTAAACCAATGTGATTTAAATCAAATCCACCCTGCTGTTCTCCCTCACACGATACTAATACTTGGCACTAGGGTCACAATACATACAGTGGCTTTCTCTAGGGGCAGACTGGACATGGAGAAACAGAAAATAAATGAAAAACCATTAAAAACAAAGCTACTTGTATTTTATGGTGCTTTTTGCTGGAAGGAATGCAGGATGGTTTTACAATCTAATTCTCCCACGATCCCTTTAAGTCAAGGGTATCAAACATATGGCCCATTGGGCCCGTGTACCTAGTCCCCTGGGCTACCAGAAGCTGAGGGGGTGCAGTCTGCTGCAGAATATGGGGCCCTCTAGCCCCATTGCCCATGGCTGTTGCGCGCAAGATCGGCTTGTCATTGCAGCTGTCCCCAGACCACAGTTCCTGGACCCGCTACTGTTCCCTCCAGTCCAGCCATCACCAGACCTACCATCACCACAGTAGCCATGATTTCGAGGACACCCGTGGTCCATGCATCCAGACGGGTGAGTTTGGAAACCCTGCTTTAAGAGAACTATTTCCAGCAATGCACATAGCAAAACAGAAGCACAAAGACGTGTTTCTCCAAGGTTGGAGGAAATCAATGGCAGAGGTGTCAAAAGATTATAATGTCAAGAAGCCTGATACTATGAGCACAGTAAATTGTAACAAAGGAAAATAAGATCGCTTTGTTTCCAAGGCAATGCTCAGTTTTAAATGCAAAATGACCTAAGATATTAGAAACCTGTGGGAAAAAATTCCTTCTGTTGCAGGCCACTGTGGAAATGCTTCAGACTGTGAAATGGAGCACAGCCTGTTAAAGACTGAAACCACCAGGTCAAAACGAGGAAAAAAAAAAAAAAAAATCAATCAATCAATCACGCAAAGCAGAGCATTTTGCACCACCCATTTCACAGAAGCATACATTTTAACTCCATCCCTCAGGACAGAGGTAGAAATAGAACTGATTGAAAACTGATAGGACATTTCTCTGCCAGAGAATACTAATTTCTTGAAAGAGAAGCATTTTACAGAAGGGAAATAGTTGTTGAAAACGATGCAACTAAGCACAGGCAGGTTTCTACCAGAACTCTTTCCACCTTCCTGTAGGCTCAACCAGTCAGCTTTTCTCAGCCTCCTAGGGTCTGTGGTACCACAGCAACACCTATAATAAAATTTATAGCAACTATTCAGGGGAAGGCAGCTGTGATATGGAGAAGAACTGTAACAATTCCAGCAAGCTGCTAGCAGGTCTCGGAGCATATCTTCTTTTGGAAACACCATGTGCTTCTGAAACGAACATTTTAGAGAATTTCTGCTTCATGGGAAGCAGTGGCAAGTTTGGATTAAAGGTAAACTGGAATTAAATCAAATTCCAAAATGAGGCAATTGTCAATAATTAGAAATCCCACATTCTGATCAATTATAGCTATGGGAAACGGTACAAATTTCCAGTGCCGACAATGTCATGTTAACAAGTACAGCCAACTTTGTCACTTGCCTCCAATTTCAAACTACTTCACTGGTATGAGACGGTCTGCAAATGTTTTTGATGGAAATGTAAGCAGTGAAAGCATGGAGAAAGAGGCTGAAGTACTTGATGCCTTTTTTACCTTGGTCTTCATAGGCAAGGGCAGCTCCCAGACTACTGTGCCAGGCAGCACAGTTTGAGGGAGGAGGTGAGCAGCGCTCAGTGGTGAAAGAACAAGTTAGGGACTATTTAGAAAAGCTGGATGTGTACAGATCCATGGGGCCAGATGCAATGCACCCAAGGGTGCTGAGGGAGTTGGCTGATGGGACTGCAGACCTGCTGGCCATTATCTTTGAAAACTCATGGCAATCAGGGGAGGTCCCAGACAACTGGAAAAGGGGAAATATAGCGCGCACCTTTAAGAAGGGGAAGGCAGAGGATCCACCTCAGTCCCTAGAAAAATCATGAAGCAGATCCTCAAGGAATTCATTTCTAAGCACTTGGAGGAGAAAGTGATAAGGAACAGTCAGCATGGACCCACCAGGGGCAAGTCATACCTGACCAACCTGATTGCCTTCTATGATTAAATGACTGGTTCTGCAGATGCAAGGAAAGCAGTGGGCATGATCCACCTTGACTTTAGCAAACCTTTTGATATTCTTGCAAGCAAGCTAAGGAAGTATGAGTTGGATGAATGGACTGTAAGGTGGAGAGGAAGCTGGCTAGATCATCCAGCTCAATGGGTAGTGATGAATGGCTCAAGGTCTAGTTGGCAGCCAGTATCACGTGGAGTGCCCCAGAGGTCGGTCCTGGGGCTGGTTTTGCTTAATATCTTCATTAAAGATCTGGAAAATGGGATGGCGTGCACCCTAAGCAAGTTTGCAAATGCTACCAAGCTCTGGGGAGTAGTAGATATGCTGGAGGGTAAGGCTAGGATTCAAAGTCATCTAGACAAATTGGAGAATCGGGCCAAAAGAAATCTCATGAGGTTCAACCAGGACAAGCTGCACTTAGGATGGAAGAATTCCACGCAGCACTACAGACTTGAGACCAAATGGCTAAGCAGCAGGTCTGCAGATAAGGACCTGAAGGTTACAGTGGACAATAAGCTGAATACAAGCCAGCAGTGTGCCCTTGTTGCCAAGAAGGCTAACGGCATCCTGGGCTGCATTGGTAGGTATGTTGCAAGCAGGTCAAGGGAAGGGATTCTTTCCCTCTATTCAGCACTGATGAGGCCACACCTAGAGTACTGTGTCCAGTTGTGGGCCCTCCATTAAAGAAAGGATGCAGAGAAGTTGGAGAGAGTCCAGTGGAGGGCAACGAAAATGGTTAGGGGGCTGGAGGGTAGGGCTTCTGAGAAGAGGCTTAGAGAACTGGGCTTATTTAGTCTGGAGAAGAGAAGACTGAGGAGGGATTTAATAGCGGCCTTTAATTACCTGCAGGGTGGTTCCAAAGAGGATGGAGCTGGACTGTTCTCAGTGGTGGCAGATGACAGAACAAGCAGCAATGGGCTCAAGTTGCAGCAAGCGAAGTTTAGGTTGGATATTAGGAAAAAAACTCTTTCACTAGGAGGGTGGTGAAGCACTGGAACAGATTACCTGGAGGGATAGTGGGATCTCTAACTTTGGAGGCTTTTAAGGTCCAGCTTGACAAAGCCCTGGCTGCAATGATTCAGTTGGAGCTAGTCCTGCTTTGAGCAGGGGGTTGGACTAGATGACCTCCTGGGGTCCCTTCCAGCCCTAATTTTCTATGATTCTATGGATCTTGACTTAGTTTCACACTGCCATGGCATGCTGGAACCTACAAATTGCAAAGGTATTTATTAACCGTGTGCAGTTGTAAGGTGAAGTCCTTGTCAAATGAACAGAAAAGCACTTTTCAAAAGATATTTGCAGAAACAAAGCAATAGCGCACTTTTAAAACAAAACAAAAACACTTGAAACCATTCTGTGATTCCAAGCACTCCAAAAAATTGTTATGGAGAAGACAACCCTAAGGAAAAAGGGGCAGGAAACATTAATTTAAGGGTGTTTAAGCACACTAAATCTTGCTTTGGAGGCTGGGAGAACTGACAAAATGGGGTGAAGAAGAGGGCAAAAAAGAATGCCGATTTTACAAAGTGCTTATATCCGCAGCATTCAGCCAAAGGCATTAAAGTCGTACAGTTTGACTCCACATATCAGGCTTCAGCTTTATCTCACTGAGCGAAGTTCTTAACACAGGACTCCTCGCTCCTCTGTGCAACCTGACATAAGGTTGGACAGACTGCTGCATAAATGAATCAGAGCAAAGTCCCTTTATTCCTTCAAAGGAGCAAGAAAGAGGGTTGGAACAGCAAAGTATCACAAACCACTGTGTACGGTTGGCAGCTTTATGGGACAGAACATTATGACCTTCAGCAGATAGCCAGGCTGTCATTTCAGCAACCAACAGCGCTTTACTCCTCTGTTCACTAATGAAGTAGTTCTCCAACTCAAATTGCATGTTAGCATTTCATTTCTTCTAATCCTTTCAACACAAGGGGAGGGGGGGCGGGGAGTAATTTAGTGTTTAAAGAGCAAAACAAAATGCCAAGGAAGTCTGTGTTTTCCTTCGTTTCCAATGATGTAATTAAAGCCCTGAAGGTTTGTTGTTGTTGTTGCACAAGTGACATTACAGGCTGTTTCACAAAACACAACCAACTCTTAATACGCCCAGAACTGGAACCTGTAGGACAATTCTGACAAAGCCCAAGAGGCTTAGAACATAGCTTGCTTGCTCGCACCCACTCTACATTCAGATAAACCCTGAAAAGAAAATAGAGCGATTAAATATTAAAAGTTGTTTTAGTCAGGGAGTAATGTATTCAATTTGATCGTATGAATAAGAAATGGGAAAAAGTATGAATATGAAATAGGAAAAAGTGTTTAGGTCTCAGAAGGAAAATGCATGATGAGGGAACAAAGGAATATTTGGAAAATTAAAGCAGCTACACCTGATTTTTTTAAGTTCATAGTCACCAGGAATCCAACTACTGCTTCTACCTAATAATCCCTAACCAAAATGAAAAGAGTCTACTCTTACTTGTTGCACTTTGTGTGTAATTAATTGAGAACAAACTCTTTAAAAAGACACTTAAAACACCAAAATCAAGACGAGTAAGAAATTATAAATATTCAACTAATTAAAAAATGGATATTCTCACATTTACTTTGACACATCAGTGCCTATAAAACTTCTACTAGCAAGGTAGTGGTAGCCCTGTTAAAGCAAGGTAATTTTTTCTAGTTGTAAAAGCCTCATAACACCAGTTGAATTCAGAGCAGGTAATACTCTTGATCTGGTCTTCTGAAAATCAAAACTACATTCATTTGTTAAGCCTATCTCCCCTATTTGAAATGTATAATTAGTCTCCTAGTTGCATGTTAAAGAATCATCAGAACACTGATGACACCTTAAATCAGGGATGTCAAATATACAGCCCAAGAACCTGATCCAACCCGTTGAACCCTATCAACTGGCCCACGATACTGTCTGTGGATCTTGGAGTGGCCCCATATGCTGCACGCTGGATCAGCCCCCCATGCTGCATGCAGCGCCTACAACAAATCAGTCCAGGACATGTGCTGCATAAGGTGCTCATGTGGGGCCAGTCTGAGAAGTGCGCTGCACATGGTGCCTGCACTGGGCTAGCCCCACACACTGGATCTGGCGCACAGAGCCAGTCTGAGGGCCCAATCCAGCTTGTAGGCCATTCCTGTGCCACCCACTTGGCCCTGCAGGCTGGATCAGTTTCACACCCCTGCCTTAAACTGTACCTGAATTAACAGCCTGAAAGCTTGCTAGTGAACGGGGCAAGGATTTTTTGTGCTATATTTTCTGGACCTACTGTATAGTCAGGAGAGCTGTTGGACAAGCTTTCAGGCATCAAGTGCCTTTCCTCAGGTTTAAGAAAGAGGCAGACACAAGTTGTGCTAAATTGCAGAAAGAAGACTCCATGTAAATGCAAACAGTCTGCTTGAAGGGATGGAGAAGGGCAGTGACCTAGGAGTGAAGAGGCGTTATCAGGAGCTATTATAAGACAAAAGTAGTGAAGTAAAATAGGAAAATCTAGATAGTGGCAGAGGGAAGACATATTTGAATACTTCAAGCTGAAAGCACAGACATCTCAGTCAATAGGTAACACAGGCAGAGGAAGCCATGCTCAGACCATGCATCTGCTTGTTCCTGGGTCTCTTGAAGGCAGTCAGCTAGATTAAGAAATTTTCCACCACTTTCACTGACACCCTTTCCACAAAAGCCCTGCATATTTACTGTGATATAGCAGATGTTTGTCCAGTTTTGTACTTAGAAATTCAGAAGTACTGATCACTCACAGAATCGGAATGAATGGGAGCTCATTACTCCCAAAAGTCAGGCCACTTACAAGCTGATCCCTTGCCTGTCCTGAGAAATTAATATAACAGCAGGGCAAGTTACTTGTGTTGCTGGTACAGGCACTCCTCACTTAACGACCGAGTTCTGTTCCTACGACTCAGTCGTTAAGCGAATTGGTCGATAAGCGAGGAGCCGCCCCTTACCGACCGCAGTCGGCCCCCAGGGAAACAGCCGGGGATGGGAAGGCGCTGGCCATGGCGGCGAGTCCTGGCTGCTGCCCGCCGGGTGGATGCTTCTCCCCCCTCGTGGGTTCGCGGAGCCGGCTGGAGGGTGCCAGGCTCAGCTCCACGTCCCCCTCAGCTTGACGCTGAGACGCCGCGCTGCCGCGACGCCGCGCTGCCGACCAGCTCTACAACTCTACGGAGAGCTGGTCGTAAGTCCGCGCGATCGTTAAACAGGTAGGTCGTTAAGTGAGGAGTACCTGTATATTAAGCCCATGAATGAGGCTTGATTACTGTAATTCCCTGCAACTTTTCTGTTGGAAGTTTGTTCAAAAACAGCGAGCAAGTCCACTCATCAGTTTCTGCAACTGCTGTATTAGATCCACCCGTTGTTCTTTACAATGGATTTCAGTTGGCCTTGTTTTTACAGCCTTTACAACAGCATTAGAGCTGGCTAGACTAGAGACCTCATCCTTGAGCCTTACAAAAACAACTTAATGAAGGACACAGTCCAGTTTTAGAAACTTCAACAGTACTACTTAGGTAAGCTGCATATTGTGCTTTCACTGTGTTGGAACTTAGAAAATGTATTTACCATTATTTATTCAATTTATATGCCAGCTCTTTCCAGCAAAAGCTCAGGGCAGCTTACAATAAGAAAATAGAACAACTTAAAAATAGCAGAGACAAGAGATCAAAAACAACTGAAAATGGAATAGGAATATCAAGATAAAACAGATA